CAGGTAGGGGCCAAACAAGAATACACCGGTCCACCCAAGCACATCACTCTGTGCCTAGCCTGTGGGGGATCACATCAAAGGGCCACCTGCAAGTTTAAAGGAGCCGTTTGCAACAACTGCCATAAGAGGGGGCACATTGCGAGAGTCTGCCAAGCCCCCCAAAGCGCTGCACACAGACCCCCGTCCTCGCACTCGGGACCACAGAGGCAAGTATTAAACTGTCGCACGCACCGCCTTGCCAGGCGTACTTGCCACTCTGTTAGTAAAATTTCTCTCTCCGTTTCCCTAGAAGGTAAACCGTGCCACATGGAGGTTGACACAGGGTCAGCGCTCTCAATAATCTCGTGGAACACCCTCAAGAGACTCCACCCCAGCCTATCTACTACCCGGCTTCAGAGATGCCAGTTCGGTCTGAAGGACTACCAGGGGAAGGCCATTCCCGTGATCGGCAGAGGCAAGTTCTTTGTCAGTTTTAGAGCTTTTAAAGGCCACCTACCTCTAGTGGTAGTTAACGGCAATCTACCCACCTTATTGGGGCTCGATTGGTTTCCCCACCTCGGCCTAGGGTTAACAGGAGTCCATGCTGTCTCAACCTCAGACACTGACTCCTTATTCGCTGACTACGCAGATGTGTTCAGCGAGGAGCTGGGGTGTTATAATGGAACCCCCATCTCGTTCACCGTTGACCCCCAGGCAGTCCCAATCAGATTAAAACCACGTAGAGTTCCATTTGCTATTCGACCAAAACTAGACGCTGAATTGGATAAACTACTAAAACAAGGGGTCATTGAGCCAACAGATTTCGCCAACTGGGAGACGCCCATTGTCACACCCCTCAAAAAAGATGGTAGCCTGAGAATTTGCTCGGACTACAAGACAACAATCAATAAATATTTACAAGTTAGCGCCTACCCTGTGCCCGTCATTCAGCACTTATTGCACACATTCGAACCGGGCAGTATTTTTGCTAAATTGGACATGTCTCAAGCATATCAACAGTTCCCTGTTGATAACCAAACAGCGGAACTTCAGACCATCGTCACTCACAGGGGTGCCTTCCGATGCAAGCGTCTCCAATTTGGCGTAAGTGTTGCCCCGGGTATTTTTCAGTCCCTCATGGAGCGGATTTTACAGGGCCTCCCTGGTGTAGTACCCTACTTCGACGACATCTTGGTCTCGGCCAGGGACAGACCCCAACTCTTCCAGAGAGTGCGAGCAGTGTTAGAGAGGTTCAGACAGCATGGCCTCAGGTTAAAAAAAGAAAAATGTGCCATTGCCACTAGACAGGTGGACTTTCTGGGTTATAAAATTGACGCCTCTGGCATTCACCCCCTGGAGTCCAAGGTTAGGGCGATCCACGAAGCTCCCACACCGACCTCCAAAACGGAGCTACAAGCTTTCTTGGGGCTCCTAAACTTTTATGCATCCTTCTTGCCCCATAAAGCCTCAGTAGCCGAACCCCTACACAGATTACTAGACAAGAAGTCACCGTGGCACTGGGGGCACAAAGAAGACCAGGCGTTTAACGCCGTCAAATCACTACTTACGTCAGAGGCAGTGCTCATCCAATTCGACCCCAACCTTCCTTTAGTACTGGCAGCAGACGCATCCCCTTTTGGAATTGGGGCGGTCCTTAGTCACCGACTCGCCAATGGCGCCGAGGCCCCCATCGCCTTTTTCTCCAGGACGCTCTCGGCCACGGAGCGAAATTACAGCCAAATAGACAAGGAAGCCCTAGCAGCTGTTGCAGCCGTGAAAAAGTTTCACGAATTCCTTTTTGGCCATTTCTTCGAACTGGTCACCGACCATAAGCCCCTCCTGGGCCTACTGGCCGGCGACAAACAGACACCTCAAGTCCTTTCCCCTAGAATGACAAGGTGGACACTTTTCCTAGCGGCCTATTCATACAAACTTATTCACCGCCCGGGCAAAACTCTATCCCACGCCGACGCTCTCAGTCGCTGCCCCTTACCCGCTCCGGCTGAAGACCCAGCTCCTGTCAACGCCATTTTTGAAATCACCCAGTTGGACCTGCCCATCACCACCCTTGACATCGCCGCTAAAACCAAGGCAGACCAAACGCTCGCCCAGGTGCTCGACTGGGTGAGGAGGGGGTGGCCGGGAGGCAACGTCGATAACAAATTCGCACCTTTTAAGACTCGCATGCAGGAGCTGTCCAGTTTGCAGGGTTGTCTACTGTGGGGCACTCGAGTGGTCATTCCGACCTCGCTGCGTACCCGAGTCCTGGAGGCGTTGCACGAGGGACACCCCGGCATTGTGAGAATGAAGGCGTTAGCACGCAGCTACGTGTGGTGGCCGGGTCTAGACGAGGACATTGTCAATTGGGTAAGTTCCTGCAGCATTTGCCAGGAATCCCGTCCTGCTCCCCCTATCGCCACCCCTACCAGATGGGAGAGCGCCAACGCCCCTTGGTCTAGAATCCATATCGATCTGGCAGGCCCCGTGCATGGAAAGATGTTCCTAGTGGTCGTGGACGCTTATTCCAAATGGATAGATGTGGCGCAGCTATCCACGACCACCACACTAGCAATCACCAACGTGTTAACGCGCCTGTTCGTTACACATGGACTACCCGACTCCATTGTCTCCGATAATGGCCCACAGTTCGCATCAGTAGAATTCAGCCGTTTTGCTGCCAACCTGGGCATTCGCCACATTTTCACAGCCCCATTTCACCCTGCCAGTAATGGGTTGGCTGAAAGGGCCGTCAGGACCACCAAAGAGGCCCTCGCTAGGTTTGGCAGGGATGACTGGCACCACAAACTCGCACGGTTCCTGATGAGCCAACACTCAACCCCCTGTGCAGTCACCAATAAGTCCCCAGCGGAACTTCTGATGGGCCGGCGCCTGAGGACTGTATTGGACAGATTGCACCCACAATACTGCCCTGACTCTCCCCTCGCTTCTACGTCGGGGGTTAGACATTTTTTGTTACAGGAACCGATATTCGCAAGGAATTTCGCCGGGGACCCACTTTGGATTCCAGGCGAGGTCATCGCCATCACCGGGCCGAGATCGTATAGAGTCAGGCTGGAGGATGGTCGCGTCTGGAGGAGACATATAGACCAGCTTAGAAGGCGCCTCAGCGCCCTTGCCAACAAGAGTCCAGAGTCTCCAGTCGAAGGGGAGCCGCCTCATCCGCCGCCCAGCCACATCGTACCCAGTGACCAGTCTGCACCAGCGGTCGTTCCGGTCAGCCCAAACTCGGACAACAGCGCCCAGAGAGTTGACCAGCCTGATCCAACCCACGAGAGCCCGACCCCAGTAACCAACCCGGTGTTTCCCGAGGATGCCCAGTCCAGAGAGAGTGTTGGCGACACTATGCCGGCTCGACCATCACAGACTGGTACCGAACAGACAGACAATGTTCCCGAGTTGCGCCGTTCCGGGCGCCAACACAAACCCCCCGTCTACCTCAAGGACTATGCATGTTCGCATCTGGGGGGAAGGGGTGTTATGTCCTGAGGACTCAAGGAGTTCTCACTCAGGTCCACCCACTTTACGTGGGCGTTATTCCCCCATTCCCATTGGTTGGCTCTCCCCAGCAGCCAGCTATAAAAGCAGGCTGCGGGGTCCAACCGGTTGCTGATTGCTGTGAGCCAGTTCCAGGCTTGGCAAGCACGGTCAGCCCTTTATTGTAAAATAAAGTATTGTTGCACTCATGCTCTGGTTCAGCCTCTCATTGCTCAAACAAAACAGCAACAGACTTCAGCTGTATCCTGAGGGGCTGCAGATGGGATTCTCTGTATCCAGGAGTTTATCATCTCTAGTCATGGATGGGGTTGCACAGACTGACCCGGTCATAATCTGAGAGTCCTCCTAGATTCACTGTTCCAACTCAAAGAGCAGGTGACAGCTAAGGTAAGGAGTACCTTTAGTTAACTTCATACTGTGCACCGGCTATGCCCTTTTCTAGATAGGGGACTCAGACATTCATGCTCTAGACATCTCTCGTTTGGACTATTGCAATGTGCTCTACCTAAAGCAGAGATGGTATTGAGCAGGTTTTGAGCAGTTCTGGAGAACCGGTAGCAGAAATTTTGAGTAGTTCAGAGAACCAACAAATACCAGCTCTGACTGGCCCCAACCCCCATCTATTCTCTGCCTCCCAGCTGACTGTTGCCCTGCACAGAAGAATGGAGCTGGAGAGCAGGTTAGTGAGGTGGGGAGGAAATGGGATTTTGCAGTAACCTTCCCCTGCCATGCCCTCCAAGCCATGCCCACCAAACCACACCACACTTCCCAAGCCACACCCACAGAATCTGTAGTAAAAAAAAAAATTGAATCCCACCACTGACCTAAGGCTATCATTGAAAATTATCCAGAACATTCAGTTGGTACAAAATATAGCTGCACAGCCAAAGAATGGCCTATATAACATGTTTACTGCTTGGGCTGCATTGGATGTCAGTCTGCTTCTAGGTCAAGGTATTGGTTATGATTTTTAAGGCCTACCTGGCATGACATTAGATTACCTAAGGAATCATATTCAATCAGTAAGGCATGTTATGGAAGGTAAAGAATTCCAACTGTGGAATCCAGGAACAGAAACTTTTCTGCCATTGCCTTCATCCTGTGCAACATTTCCTTCCAGAGGTGAGGCAGGCGTTCACTCTCCTTACTTTCCACAAAGTTATACAAATATGGCTCTGCAGACTTGCTTGTATATCAGACAGGAGCACATAAATGTGGGGTTGACTAAAACCATGAAACCCTTTCCCCCACCCACTGCCTTTTAATTGACTTGTAGTTAATTTTATATTGGTTTTTAACTCATCTTTGCCTTTTAAATTTTATATATCATTTTTATAATTTGATTGTATATATACATATCCTGGATCCTTCTGTGAGGAAAATGGGCAGTTTTACAAAATTGGTAGATAAATGAATCAGTTTATAAACAATAACTTTTCATCCCCAATAGCAACAGCATATGTGTGATAAAAGAAAGAAAGGCATTTTGAAAAATGAAAGTAGACATATCTAGATAAACTTGTGCCCAATAAATATTCATAGATAAACAAAAAAATGCTGAGGAGAATCTTCAAGAATTGCCCTAGCTGTTTTCTGAATAGGCTAGGGGAAAGAAAAGAGCTCATTAGGAAAAGCTTTGTTAATTCATTATGTACACTAACCTTTCATTAGGCTCACCTTCTCAGCTGTGTGCTTTCTATACTACATCATCATCTGTATGCAGTAAAGTAATGTTAGTTAGGAACTTAAAATTGTAGCCCAACATATCTGGAGGGCATCAGATACAGCCAAAGCAAGCACTCAATTGACCCACCTTGTAAAAGGGCAGTTAGCACAAATTTAGCCTCAAGCATGGAGCAGTATTATCAGTGATGCGTTTCAAAAAAAATTACCACCGGTTCAGTGGGCATGGCTTAGTGGGCGCGCTTTGCGCAGTTGCAGAAGCATTTTGACTCACCTCCTGCAATCCTGCACTCTCTCTGTTGCTTCAGCAGCTGCAACGCAGCAATCTGTTGTGCTGTGCAAACCAGCTGTGCTTCAAAAGCAGGACATAAAGGTTAGTATGGGAGCCTGGGCAGGCGGGCGAGCCCAACAGCACAATGTTGGAGAGAACTGGTTCAATCTCCACTGCTCATTGGCGCTACCAGCTCAGCAGAACCAGGCCGGACCCAAAGAATACCACCATTGAGTACCATTCACAGAAAAGAATGAGTTAAGAGAGAATACTTTCATTTCCAATATTTTCATTTCCAATTTTTTAGGGGCATTTCCAAATATTTAGACTGGACACACTGGATCATGTTGCTGCAAAGACAATTGAGCAGCTTTCCTTAATTTGACTCTGATCCTTCTAGCCTTTTGGAAGACCCTGAGGACATGGTTTTGCCATTGTGCCTCAGGATCCAGTGGAGGTATACACCTTACAAAATGGTTATACTCTTTGTGAGATATGGATTGCATACTTGTGGCAAAGCAAAGAAAAGAAGTGGAGGAAGGGCAGGGCAAGGCAGGAGAGGAGAGTACAAAAGGAGAATTTAGATCTAAAAAGGAGAGTTACAGAGTTCTTCTTCACCATGTGTTCCTCTTCTTCTATATTCTTGGTTTTATAGCATTTTGTGCATTCACAAATGTGATATGTAAAATTATATAAAATATATAAACCGCAGACTTCCTAGGGAAAATGTCTTCTGTAGCTCTGCCCATGAGCACAGAATTCCCTTTTGCAAAAGCTCCATAATAAAGCTCCTACATATTGTTCAAGAGTCTCCGGTTGTATGAAAACCTGAAAGGTTGATTTTTTATCACAACAAATAACCAGGAATAAGGGGGAGGAGCTTAAGGCAATTTCGTATTATATGTTTTTAAGGTTGGCCTGTTTCTGCTCTACTCATTTGGAAAGTTATTAAGATAATGAACCTTTTCCAAGAGAGTGTGCATAATACCTTAACCATACAGGTAAAGGTTCCCCTCGCACATATGTGCTAGTAATTTCCAGCTCTAGAGGGCGGTGCTCATCTCTGTTACAAAGCCGAAGAGCCAGTGCTGTCCGAAGACGTCTCTGTGGTCATGTGGTCGGCATGATTAAATGCCGAAGGCACACAGAACACTGTTACATTCCCACTAAGGTGGTCCCTATTTTTCTACTTGCATTTTTTACATGTTTTCAAACTACTAGGTTGGCAGAAACTGGGACAAGCAACAGGAGCTCTCTCTGTTACGCAGCGTTAGGGATTCGAACCACCGAACTTCTGACCTTTCTGATCGACAAGCTCAGCATCTTAGCCTCAACTTTAACCTTAGCCTTAACCATAAGTATATACTTTTGGAGGGTTTCCTTTCCACCTTCAAAATTACTGTAGTCATGGAGGACTTTAACTATCCTGACATCAACTGGGAAACAAACAGAGTAGGAGATTGAACATGTTCCTGACCAACTTAGCTGACAAGTTTGTCACCCAAAA